AAAATATATATATATATATATACACACACGTGCATATGTATGTCTATATATGTGTATATATGTGTTTATGTATATCAGTTTTGCCTAACCTTGATGTCATTATCATATTCAATATCATTTAACCGTATCATATTTAAAGTGTTAAACAATAATTCCAATAATTAATATCAGTCATTATTCAAACTACCTCAAGTATCCCAAAATAATTTGTATAGTTGAAAGTTTAATTCAAGAACCAAACAAAATCCCACAATGTTGACTAAGTCCACTTTATTCTATATCATTCTGCCCTTCCTTTTTTTTTTTTTTTTGCGGTACGCGGGCCTCTCACTGTCGCTGCCTCTCCCGTTGCGGAGCACAGGCTCCGGACGCGCAGGCTCACTGGCCATGGCTCACGGGCCCAGCCGCTCCGCGGCATGTGGGATCTTCCCGGACCGGGGCACGAACCCATGTCCCCTGCATCGGCAGGCGGACTCTCAACCACTGCGCCACCAGAGAAGCCCTCTGCCCTTCCATTTTCCCTTCCATGATTTGCTGGGGAAACCTGTCATTCATCCTGCAGAACGTCCCACATTCTGGACTTGGCTGATTGCTTCCAAACGGTGTCATTGTTCCTCTATCCCTTGTATTTCCACAAACTACTAGTTAGATCTAAGGTATTGATTAGAGTCAGATTAAATGTGTTTTTTTAAAATGTACCATAAGTGGTACCGTGTGCTTCCTGTAGGATCATACAATGGGTAAATACTAAGATGGATCACAAGTTCAAGTGGTTCCAGCATGATCCCTATATTATGAAATTCCCTATCTACCTTTCACCTAATGGTTTTAGTATACATTGTAATTGTTACCTAGATCCATGATATCATCAGGGGTTGAAAAATCACACTTTCTAATTCTATCATTTCTTCTGTATTTTTTTAAGCTGGAATTCTTCACAAAGAACTTTCTCTCCTCAATAATGCAGTTACTCTGACATAAAGCTTATAATTATGATAGATGTTTGATTCTTTGCTAGTTAAAGAGCTGGTGTCATCGCAACCTCCCATGGTGACAAATGAGTTGGGGTCTGTTTGTTAGTTGGTTTATTTGCTTGTTTAGGTATGAGAGCAAAAGGTTAATAAAACTTTTTCCAACTTCCTGAGAATCTGAGCTTTGGCTTTTACCTGAAAACCTCAGAAGGACAAGAACATCAAATGTCATAAAAAATGAAACCTGATTGGTAAATTACATCTGGATGGGAGGACCTGTAAATGAACCATAAATCCCTAACAGGGAAGCAGACACTGTGCTTTGAACTTTCCCGAGTGAGGTCATTCTTGGACCTGGGCATGTCCCTTGTGGAAATGCTGGAAGCCATGCCCGCGAGTTATTACAAAAGATGCTGGCAACTCTGGGGTATGAAGCGTTTAAGCCAGGAAGGCTCCCATAGCTGCCTGATGTAGACTGAACCTCCTTGCACTAGAGCTGTGTGACTTGGGGAGAAAATACCTCCTGGACAGCTATAGGTTGCAGTGTGACCTGAGGCAAGGGCACCCACATGCCCTCGAGTTACATAGAAGGGGTCAAGTGTGGCCTATGGGAGTCTGAAGAGTGCAAATGTTGAGCTGAGTCTAGGAAGACCCCATGCCTCTGCATAGAATCACTATGAAATTGTATATATTTGGTGGGTTTCAATCGACTACAGCCATTATTCTTTTTAATGCTCAAATTTTACCATCTTAGATCAAAATGTCTCCCGTGTCCTTTAGACCAAATTAATATAGTTTTAAACAACAGTTCGTTCATTTCATTCTTTCATTTCCTCAACGGGTACTTACTGAACATGGCATGTGCGGAGAGTGTTTGCAGGTTACAAAGCAAGGAAAAAGCAAAGAGATGCTTCCAGGCGGTGTGTGCATGGTTAACTATCCAACGAACCAAACAAAGCATGTTCCACAGTCTCAGAAAAGAATGACTTCTCTACTGAGACAGACAAAATAGATTTCACACCTTTAATGAAGCTTTTTGTGGTAGACAAAATAACGCCCCCGGCAAAGATGTTCATGTCCTAATCCCCAGAGGCTGTGAATCTGTTAGGTGACATGGTAAAGGAGAAATAAGGTTGCAGATGGAACTAAGGCTGCTAATCAGAGATTGATAGCAAGGTCTTTAAAAGTGGAAGAGGGAGGTAGAAGAGGAATGGGAATCAGAGGGAGATTCGATGAAGGAAGCGGGGGTAGGGGGGTAGGAGTGATGGAATCATCAGCTTTGAAGATGGAGGAAGGGGTCACGAGCCTCGGAATGTAGGCAGCTTCAGGAGGATGGATAAGGCAACGAAATGGATTCTCCCCTACAGTTGACATCTTGAGTTTTCCTAGCGAGGCCCGTGTTGGACTTCGATGTCCAGAACTGTAAGATAATACATTCGTGTTCTTTTAAGCCACCAAGTTTGTGGTCACTTGTTACAGCTGCATATGAAACTCATACACCTTATCTGACTCACTCCATCCATCATCCATTCATTCATT